CCTGGTCATGTTGTTTCGAGAGACACGGAACATTAAAACACACATAATACTGGTGTGAACATTAAAAAGAGATGATATCGGGCCACATTTCCTACTGAACGCATGTGGAAGTGCCCACAGGCAAAACACTGAACCCCAGCTTGCTCCTGTTAGGCGAACGTCTTGAAGAAGCTCATTTGCAGTCGGGGACTTTGTTCACCACAGTGATTAAAAAAAAATAAAAAATACATTAACATTCTTTTCATAACATATAGATGCATCATGTATCTTCAGTGCCTTGCAAAAGTATCAAAAACCCTTGAGCTTTTTTAACATTTTTTTTTTTTTTTTTGCATTACACCCAAAAAAAAAAAGAACTTTATTGTATTTGGTTGGGATTTTATGTTAAAGTCCAACACAAAACGTTGCATAAATGTGGAATGGAGGGAAAGTGATGCATGTTTTTCAAAACTGTTTATAAGTAGAAATGCGATGCAAATTTGTATTCATGTTTGTTGAACCAGGCAACTGCAACGATAGCTCCGGGACTTTCAGGACACGTCTCTTCAAGAATACTAGAGTTTAAAGCTATTTTTGCAAAATAGTTAAGCTCAGTATTGCTGAACAAAGAGCATGTGTGAATAGCACTTTTCAAGTCTTGCGTTCAATCTTACTTGGTTCAAGTAAGAATCAAGTAATTAACTGGGGCGTTAATTGGGCTATAACATTAATTTCATTTAAGCCACTCCATTTTAGCTCTTGCTTTCTTTTAGGATTTCTATGTTTAGCTCCCTTCATTTTCCAATCAACTCTTGCCAGCTTTCCTGTTCCTGCTGAAGAAAAGCACCCGTAGCTCATGATGCTGCCACCACCATACTTCACTGTGGAGACGTGGTTGGCCACCACCGTGCTTTGTTATGAGGAATGTGTTGTCATGTGGATTTGCAGTGTTATGGCATTTTGTGGGGGCAAATACACATGAATGCCACACTTCCAGATTAAAGGAAAAGGAGATAAAAGGAGGACAGAAATAAATGGATCACTTTCCTTCCACTCAGAGATATGCACTGCTTTTTTTGGTCCAATATATTTTACATTATAAATACTCCTTTCAGCAGTCGGCATTCAGTCAGCATCTGAATGGTGGAAAGGTTGTTTTTTTTTTTTTTTCTCTACTATTTAGAAAACAGTGTAGGAATAAATTCTCAATGCAATCCCCTGGGAGCTGAAACACAAGGTACATAGCAAACTGAACAGAAACGGCAAGCTGACAGATAAATTACCACGGAAATAAAGCTTTATTTAATTTACCTTTTAAATGTGAGACTGATCAATTTTCAGTGGCTGTGCTAACTAGATTCCCACTGCATTATTGCAATTGTAATTAGGTCACATGATTCTCTGTGACCTGCTTTGAGGTCTTGAATAAATTCCTCAACTAATAATTTTATAGACGCACAGTTTAGACTAACGTGAACACTTAATGATTTCTGATTTTATTGGATTTTGTTTTCACTAATAGACACAGTTATCTTCGCGCAAGATATGTAATGTCTGGTTGAATTAAAACTCTGGATTTCCTAACAATAAAAGTGTCATGTATTAGACCAAATATGGGGGAGAAGTATCTGAATAAACTACAAATGGTAACTCCATCTCCTTTAAGAAAGACAGGTTATAGGTCTTTAAGGTATATTTTTTCAAATGCACAAAATTACAAAGTAGTTAAATGTGTTAAATTACTCACTTATTCATTAAATTATTGCAATTATACAGAAGCCTTACTGGTAGCCTTCTGTCATAAATAGTTCCACGCTGAAGTCAAAATATCCTGCTGTAATTTCAGAAGTTACATTTTTAAACTATCTTTAACAGTATATGTAAGCCAAGGGCACAGTTAGTGCAGTTAGCAATATTAGCAGTGGAAATATAGCTTCATTTCCAAGAGTCTCTTTTATCCTTTTTCCTTCATTGTACTTAATTTTGACCCCCTCACAAACTATGAAATTAAAGCGCTTTCTGTTTTTATATATATATATATATATATATATATATATATATACACACACACACTTTTTAAATGTGATTTTTGGTGACATTTTAGAGACCATGCATTCAGCCTCTGCCAACTATTTGGGTAGTTGGCTTGATTTCCATAGACTTGTTTTATTTTTTACATATTCTTCACAAGGCGTCTGAGATTTGAAATCTCAAGGAGAGCAACAAGGACATTGTGTTGATGAAAAGGAGATGTTTTGTTTTTAAGTACTGATCTCGATTTACTATCATGCAGTGGTGAAAATATGCTCACTTACTTCACTTTTTGAATTAAATATCTGATTGGGCCAATTTCCTGCCTGATTCTAATCTGTCTCTGATTTATCAATTCAGATTGTAGCCAAGGACTCACATAAAAAGATAAAATAAAATAAAAACTGAGCTGAAGGTTCTTAGATTCATTTGAATCCAATGAATCTTAAACTGAAAAAAAATTGTACCAGAAATGGTTATAAAGGCTTTATTGCATTTAATTAATTGACAGAATTAACTTTGTCAGAATGTCGTCCACCTTTTCAGCTTTAGTAAGTAAGATCTTTTACCAGGGTGCAGGGACATTGTTTGTTTGTTTTTTTTTTGTTTTTTTTTAGTGCCACATGACGCTTGTTTTTTCCCTTCACAGTTTCTCCTCTAAAGGAAGTGAGGAAACTAAAGTTTTGACAGCTTTTCTACATAATACAAGGAGTAAAAATGGCTTCCCAAGGATTCACGTCTGTTTTCTTGCCATGTCTTTCCACATTCTTTTGATACCTTTGTCAAATTGTGCTAATGTAAAAATGCTTGCAGGTGCCGCTTGTGGTAATGGGAAACTGTAACAGAATGTCGTGTCTATTATTATGTTGGAACCCATTTGGAAACACTCTCAGCAGTGTAATTCAACAGGATTATCACCGCTTTGATTCCCTTTGTGGTGTGCTTGGGCACTATATGAGGTACCGCCCCCACCCCCCCTCCCCCCATCTGCAAACGGTGACCAACTCTCGCTGATTTCCACGCAGCCCTCAGTCACGGTCCCCCCATTGTTTTTTAACCTAACCCTGTTCTCAGTCATCTAAGCCGTGGAAAGCGTAACATTCCAAGTTCAAACGCAGCAAAATTGAGCTACAATTGCATCACAAATGGACAATTTGGACTTGAACTTAATAGTTCCATGCGTCTTTTCACTAACCAGCGTGAAACTGTCAACATTCAAAGAGCCAGCCCCGGGCTTGCCACAATGTGTTTTCTGTTTATAGCTGGGTTTTATACAGGATATTAAACGCTATCATCTGCTTGGACTGAAAAGCGGGTCTTGCTCAGGCATTATAGACTTTCCCATTCCATTCCACCCCTCCCTGATCTCTGATCTTCATCATCTTGTCTACATTTCCAGTATGTCCTCTGTGTTGTCTGGAGCACTTGCGCTGGGCTCCGAGTCAAGTTCAGACCAGAATCATATTTATCTTACTGTTAGGTCCAGAGATCAGGCTATTCCCGTCCGCTGATGTCTCTTCTCATATTGAATTGTGATGTAAACAGCGATGGCATGCCATGAGTGGATTTTTTTTTTTAAATCTAATTTTATGAAAACAAAGGGATCATGACTCTTTTTTTTAGCATCATATCTTGTTAGCCAGTGCCCATGTTTATCTAATAAACCATGCCTGTTATGTTAGTGTTTCTTTTTTCTTTTCTTTTACAAGCCTGGAAAGTTTTCACGCATTGGGAGTCACACATATAATTACCCAGCAGTCATCTGTATGAAAATCAATACTTTAATAGATGTCAACTGTATGTTTGCCTCTAATCTTTGTTGGATGCTAGTTTTGAAGCCTTATTTATCTGCATATAGTGATTGTATAAATACAATGTCAATACACTCAGAGGCAACATAAAATTCGACCAAATGAAGTGGGGGGGAAAAAAAGTAATTAAATATAAAACAGTGAAAAAAAAAATAGAATCCTCTGAAAAATTTCTTAGACCAAGCAGTGGGACTTAATGATATTAGATGAGAGAAAATGTGAAAACGCCTGCTATTCTGCAGAGGCAGAGCAGCGGCATTACGGCCTCGTAAAAAGCTGCCATGTGGATAAAGATCACAAGGCATCTGGATGCCATCGAGTCTTCCTTACAAGTCGTGCAACAATTAGAGAGACGGTGCCTTTGACTGAACCTGTGCACTGCACTTCTCGCAGTCAACCAGGGATTTCAAGGACACTGGGGGGAAGCATGTTAGTGCTCTCTGAATAGCACATCACAAGCATCTTTGTGGATGTGCACGCCACTAATGTTGCATTTAACGATTTTTTTCACACAGGCTTAAAGCCACATACCATGTCAGGTTTCGGGATTTCTGCAAGGGTTTTGTGCCCCCATGGGTCCTCACTTCACACAAAGTCAAGAATATTTGAGATTCAACAGCTTGTTAGGCCATTTATACCGTGAATGGCACAGGGAAGAAAAGCAGATTGATCGAGAATATACAGTATGTATATGTATGTATGTATGTATGTATATATATATATATATATATATATATATATATATATATATATATATATATATATATATATATATATATATATAGAGTGACTTATAAAATTACAACCTGATAAATATATATCTATTTTTTGTTGGTATTTTTATGTTGAACTATTTCCTGTAGTTCAACTAAAAACAATAAGTAATAAAGAAAGCTGAAAAACCAAGTTGCATAAGCGCATAGACATTTAAGCTAACGCTCACAATACCAAATTGTGGCTTTTTTTTCCCTCTTAAAAGATCCACTGTTGGTAACACAAATGTAAAAATTATTTCAGAAAAATAAATGTTTAAACAAAAATAAGCTGCCATTATCCTGGGATGAGCTTCTTTGCTAATTAAACACAATGCCACTGTATAATTTTCTTTCGTCTGCCTTTCTTTAAGTGTGCTTGAATATCCGTCTTTGATTCAATTTCTCCATCCCTCTTTGTCTCCAGTCGCTGTGCTGCTGAAGGATGACTACTTTGTAAGAGGCGCTGGACTGCCAGGGCGCTTTAAGGCTGAGAAGATGGAGTTTCACTGGGGCCAGAGTAATGGATCAGCAGGCTCAGAGCACAGCATAAATGGCAGAAGGTTCCCCGTAGAGGTAAAACGTCATGTTGCTACACACAGTTTGACAAATGTCCAAGGTTCAGTACTGAAGGTCAGCACTGAATCGTTAGTGCGGTGTTCAAATAGATTATAACTTAATACCCCTCCTAAACTATTTAATTAATGAACCCTAAAGTAAAGGTTAAGGCACGTTTTGGCGTCTAGATTTCACTGGAACCTTTTAGTCGTGAACTCAGTGGTGCTTTAAAAATGTTGGTATTTAAACCCTCAAAAGCTCAGGGGTGTCAGAACTGAGAGAATATCCTGATGCCTTCCACAATTTTACTTCTTTTCCAAGATACTCAAATGTTTGAACTTTATACAAAATCCATTAGGGGACCTTAAAGTAAATCCATTTCCCAGAGTAGCCAAGAAATCTGGTTATTTTTCTAGAAATGATTGAGGAGTGACTGTATCAAACAGCAGAAAAAAAAAATCTATTTGTGGTCAGCTTTTCAGTTCACTTTTGTTTAAACGGATAAACAAAACATATGCTTTTTATCTATGCGCGTGTCATTGAATTAGAATGTCACTATTTTCACTTGGTTTAGCATTTCAGCTCAAGAAGAAAAACGCATACACACAGATGTTGATCAAATAAAATATCATTTGAGATAATTTAATATTACCCAATAAGACGGCTATTTAAATATAGAAATCTTATCGCCTTCACATCCATGTGGAAGGCTGATTTTGTCCAACAGACATCGTCATTGACAGAAGTGCTCCAGGATTTTAAATGAACACGATAAATTCACCTCTTCCTCTCTGGTTCTTTCTCGTGTGTGTTCCCAGCACTCTGAGTGACCTTTAACATTTTTGGTCCTGTAATCTGTGTGTCAGCTGTAGGCATCCACCGTGGTGAGACCCTATCCAGCAGGGCGAATGTTAGATTAGCATGCAAAGTATAAACTCATAATTCTTGGAATGCATTAGCCAGACATTTCTGCATGCTGAACGTTTAGTTTGTGAATAATCATCGATGTATGCCGATACTAAGACTTAACGTATTTAAATACGATTAAAGATGCAGCATAAAGCTGAAAGACTGAAAGATCATCCATATTAGCAAAAGTGCAGTATACTCAAGACTGCTTAGAGTCGTGTTGGTTAATGGATTCCGAGAATTGTTAGTAAACTACGACATGTTTTTAATTTCTAATTTAGTCGTTTTTACAGAGATTACAGTTAATTTACTGGAAGACGACCTCGTATAGAAATGAGTGAAAAAATTCTTAGCTTTGACCGCTTATTTTTGACAACACGTTTTTTTCTTTTTTTCTTTTTCTTTTTTTGCATTGCACAAGGGTTTTATTGCAAATTGGGTTTGTGGAATTTTAAAAGATGTGGGAATTTATCAGACGGGGAGGCTTTTACAGGAATCACTCAAGCTGCAGTATACAACTGACTGAGAAACGCGGCAACAGATTGCCTGTAATAAAGGCAAAGCAACAAAAATCATCAAAGACTCTTATAAAAGAGATTTAAAGGGTATAAAGTCCTGGGATCCTCAGTTATGATTTATTCTGAATAATGGATTAAAGTACAAATTTCACTCTTTTTATGTCATGCAGGGAATAACTTCTAACTGCCTTTTCTTCTTTTTTTTATGTAATTTACAGTAGTATGCCTTTTCTAAACTGAATTTGAATATGTCTCATACATTTTAAATTTAGTAGGATTAAAGTCCGTGTCGTTTTTTTCAACAATTTTATGTAAAATCATATTAATTAGTGTACATTTAATAGTGTGTGAAAACAGGAAATTGTTGGTTTTCTTCCTGTCCGTGGTAAATCCAAAGACGAGGCGAGCGGCGTCTTCCTGTTTGTTCTTGGCCCTCTTCTTTGGAGCCTTCTCTTCCGCCACAGCATTTTGATGCTGAATGGCTGGGTAATTAGATTTATTTTTGCCACATCATTTTGTGTTCAGCGTAGTGTTAAAGGGCATTGGATTATATACAGCCATTATAAAGCTGTTGTGCATATGGCGCCTTTGATGGTGTGCTTCTAAATAATATGATGGAATTTACTTTAATGGCCAATTTGGCTGCTGTTAAGAAGGGAGGGGAGAAAAAGCAAAGAGAAGAAGAAAATTATGCCCTGCAGGTACATAATTCATAGATCTGAAATGTAGATTTTTGTTGCAAGGCATGTCTTTGTGTGTAGACCAAGGTTTCTGCGGTGACTTCTCTGTGAAGGAGCTCGGATTCCAAAGCTAATGTGCTCTCTCAGTATAAATTAGCGGCATAATGCATACCTGCAAATGGGTAGATGTCAAGGCTTAAATAGCTCAGCTTGTTTCGAGACGTGGGGAGGGGGAGAAAAAAAAAAGCTACACAATTTTTATGTATGAGAGAAACAAACTAAATTTTGCTTGATGGTGATCTCTGCGATGTGTCTTTTTATAGCCGTATAGGAAATGTGTCTAAACAGCCTGAGTAAGCTTTAACACCTGGACACCATATGCTGCAAATGACTGCATAGAAACTAGTCAGCAAGCAAGCAGAAGAAAGTAAGCAAGCATAAGCGCTGGGAGGAGGGAGAATGACTCAAATAGTCAGCTTTTGCCAGTTTTCAAGATGGCAAGCCTTGACCAAACATGCTTAAAGGACACATATGCTCTTTCCTTTTTTTTTCTTTTTTTTACAAGTTCATACAATTTATTGAGGTTGTAAGAAAATGTTGGTGTCATGCTTCAGTCAAAGTAACACTGAAAAGAGAGCATGCAACACCGTCCCTTTTGAGACTTTAATTTACACCTGCATGCAGAGCCTCCAACGTTAGGCCAGGAAGCGACCCTAGCTTTTTCACAGGGTCTGCCTCTGTGGTGTTCAGCAACCTTTGAAGCATGATGTGAAAGCCCACAGCCTGAACTCACTAGGATACTCAGAAAACCCGGCTCCAATTACTTTGGCAGAACTTAAACACAGTTGAAACCAGATATTTACATACACCAAATAAAAAAAGGCACATGCAATTTTTTCTGTCACTGTCTGAAATCAAGTCAGACAAACCTTGTCTTGTTTTAGGTCATTTAGAATTATCACAATTATTTCTGTTTGCTAAATAACCTTGCACTAACACTTGGAGACTTTTTGTAACTGTCTTTGAATTCATAAATGTACATAGATCTGGTCGGTATCGAGGATTATTGTCTTTTAGGCACAATAACTCGGGTCAAACCTTGTCCGTTTCCTTCCAACCTAAAATGAGAAGTTTGGTTTGATTGTGTGTGCACGTCCTTTTAATTGGTGTATTTAAATAGCTGGCTTCTATTGTACTTTTTTTTTTTTCTTTTTTTCTCTCAGTGGCAGTTTGATTATGCCTAATATAATATGCATGCACATATTAAAACCCTGTTGGGAAAGCATTATGTTTATCTCTTCTGTCAGATATCTGGCCCATAAATCCTTGGTCTATACCTGCTAATAGAACTGGGATACATTTAAATTTCATAGGATTCTGTTAAGAAGTTAGAAGTAGTAATTATCTATAAGTAGTTTTCCCATTTGCTTTGCTTGTGAGCTCTGTTTGGAGCAGTTAATTTAAATAAAATATGAGTATAAGATTTTGAAGATTATGACACACTGACCCAAAATAGGCTAAGAACTGCATTTGCTTTGAGTAAAATACAGGACACTTTATTGCCGGTTGTCAAAGCAGGCATGAAACGTCCCTCTGGTGTGAATGTACACACAGTCATTGCAGCAACAACCCCACAACCAAAAGGTATAAATGTCAAAGGGGTGAAATGATGAAGTGAAATTGGTGTTTAAATTGTTAATGTTAATGCAAATGTTACATATTTTTTGTGTCCCCTGGCAGTCCTTTACTGGTTACTCTGGTCTAATGTGTAACACATTCCATTTTGAAATATTTGCTTGTGCATGTGGAGGTCAATCCAACAAACTGCGACTCACCATGGTCCCTTTGCAAATACCCATAAACCGCTGCAGCAGTAAGCATCTTGAGCAAATGTGTTGGTGGCTTAAAGGTATATAATACAGTGTTTGCATGAACCACTGTGGCATTTACAAGAGTGGAGGTGATATGATACTGTGGAAGTCTCCTTTTGTCTCACTTTGACTAGATATTAGCTGAGGGACTAGTTTGCATGATCAAAGTTAAGGTGCTAAGAGAGTCTTTTGTTGCAGGTAAGCTATTCTGTGCTCATTATGAAACATAGGTTAGTGCGAACAAGGAACGCAAAAGACATATTTTCGTACTACAATAGTCTTAACATGCAGCATCTAATTATCATGATATAATAACATTTTACAAAAAAAAATCCAAAATATAAAAAAATACCAAAGAATGTTTATTTAAAACAAAACTTCAACAGTTATTCCTATAATTACACATTGAATATTAGATATTGTAATAGTGCTTGCTGTATGCACTGACTTTGCAAAAAGCAAAAAAAAAAAAAAAAATTTTTCAATTTAGCAACAGTTTTTAATGAGTTTTGTGCTGTATGTTTTTTTTTTATGCTAGTATATCAATATGATATCAGCTGGTTAATTAGTCAGGCTCTCTGCTCTGGTGGTCAGCTGCCTAAGAGACCTGCAATGCATAGCTTGCCAGCTTTAGTTTTGCTTTAGTTTTTGTGTTGGCTTAATATTTCTGTTTTTAAGCAAGGATGAATATAGTCTCTCTTTGAGCTGGTAGCTCAGCAGTGCACATCAACCGAGGAGTGGAGCAGCGCTTTGTTGCTCTATGCTTCATATAGCAGCAGAAGACTTGGATAACCCCAGGACTTTGTATCATATCTCATTAAAATTAACTTAAACTCCTATGACAAAAATATTTAGTACTTTTGAATTTGTAGTTTTTTTTTTTAAATTGATATATCTATTTTTACAATAGTAACCATCCCATCTTTTCCCATTAATGTCAACAGAACCCAAATTCAAAATATCCGAACTGTCCCTTTAAGAAAAAAATTCTTACACATTTTTATCTGTTTCAAAGTATTCAGTGACTAAAGGGAGAATTA